GTGTTACGTAGTAATTTATGTAACATTTAATTTTGCAATAATTAGCAAAAATTATATATACTTTTAGGAAACTTCTTGTTTACGTTCTTGTTTCGTAGAGTAAGTTATATAAATATCTAGCTAACAATATCAAACTTTTTTTCTTTTGAACACACAGATTTTTTAGGTATAAATATGACATTTTTCCATTCTTTAAACTTTGGAAACTATAACATTACTAGTACCTAAGTTTTTTTTTGTCTAATATTTTTTATACAAATGTGAGATAATTTAACCAGTTCAATTTTCCTCAGAGAATCCTTGATGGTAAACTTTTAATATTGAAAAATGGAATAGAGGAGAAAGAAAAATATTCTTTTTTTTTACATTCTAATTATTTTGACAGCTAAAAGTAGGCAGTCTGTAAATCTCCTTTACTAGAATAAAGTGGTTACTCGCTTGTTTCCCAAGTTGTATAAAAGATTAGTAATTTTTAAAGTTTAGAGAAAATTATTAGTTTAATTACAGGCTTAACACAATCATTAATAATTGTATGTTAAATTTTAAAGTCTCTTGGAACTTCGTTAGTTTGAACATGCATGTAAAATAAAAAATATATTTTTTTTAATTCTGAGACATAAGGAACTTTATTGTACTGAGTACATTTCAAGATTATGGTATTGAGTGAAAAAGAAATTCATGTATATCAGATGTTAGTAATTAATTTTACATGATAGATGGGTTACAAATGTTAAAAGGTCTTTTAAGAGGTGTAACTCTTTTGAAGCAATTGGAATTGGTTTGCAACGGACAGACTAGAAAATTGATTGATGAAATAAAAAAATTAAGAGACTGATAAAATTTGGTTATAATAAAAGATAATTAAATATATAATTGTTTAATTATGAAGTATGACTGAAGATAAATGGCCGGTATGTGGTATTGGCCCACTTTAGCTGTTCGCTGTCAATAGGTCTCTACCATTATGATATGCTAACTGTAAATAACAAACATAACAACAATATTTGCTTACAATGTTTATATTAACATAGTACTTAGAACTTTCAGTTACCGATTATCTGTTTGTTACTTCAATTACAGCAGTTAAAAAAACATAAGAAGTTACATTCAGATATCTAAATTTCTGTATAAAATATATTGTCATCTCTGTCATTGCCTTTGACAAAAAAGAGATAACAATATATTTTAAACGGGGAATTTGAACTCGGAAACCCACAGTTAGAAGTAGTAGGTTTAGAACAAAAAATGTTTTTGTTGACATAAGAAAAGTTAATGTATCACAAAAATATTTAGTTGCAATATAGATATAAGTTTCTAAAAGCATTTACATTTCGTATGTTGCGTAGTAATGTAGATATAAGAGACAATGATGCATTCGCTTCGAAGTTTTTTAAAACTGCCAAAAACTTACAGACTTTTGCGTCCCTGAGGTCTAATTTAATCATCTTTCCCTTCCCATCCTTTTTCTAATAAGGAAAGGATGGAAAGTGGAAGTGGACTTTCCGGATGAGAGGATGCATGGGAAGGAAAAATATTTTCTTTATGTGCAATGCATATGCAATTGCATATGTCTATGGGCAACGGTCACTTCGCTATTTCAGCGATTTCAGGTGGCCACTCGCTCGTTTGCCACCTTATGATAAAAAAAACTTTTTAAATGGTGTATAAGGCTATATCACAAGCACGTTTCTCTTGTGTGAACGCACCTTGTGCTTAAATGAACTAGATATTATTATATATTAAAATTTTTTATCTTTTTTTTAAATTATCTAAATGGTAATTATTTTATGTCGGTGTTTTAACAAATGATAAACTGTTCTCGGATAACGAAAGCTGAATTTTAAAAGTTGTAATTAAGATTTGATTTATTATTCTGTTAACAGAATTGGAGGGCACATAATGTTTAAGGCTAGTCGACATATGCGATGAATAGAGTTACATCTCATATGAGATCTTTTAGATGTAACTTTTTTCGACAGATGGCTTTTAGTATGCTTCTAATCGACTTAAAAAACTGGGATATATTTTTAATAGAAATAACTAAATAACATCTTCCTTAAGACATGTTTAATGGATATAATTCAAATGTCATGTTTGAACATACTTTTTGAGACGTACTCTTTACCGTTTGTTTTTCAATCGTATACAAAAAGTAATATTGTCTGCTGAATCTACTATTTATGGGTGTGTTTGATTGACTTATTTGTTATGCGCAATTTATATTTGAAGCAAGTAGGTGTTGAAATGGTTACGTAATTGGCGACCTGTCGCGAATTCTTATTGCATAGCTGTAGTTCTTGTTACGCCTACACAATATAAAATATTGCCTAATCGAATAGTTATTAGGTTTAGAAAATATAGTTCATTTTTGTTATGTTAAAAGTAGATTAAAAATGAATAAACGAATTGAGAACTTACTCATTTTTGAAGTCGGTTTATAAGAGGAAGAAAGAAAAGAAGAAAACGTTTATTATTGCTGGCATTTTAGAAAGCTAACTATTTTCTTCTCTTTCTATTATAATTTTTTCTATACATGGTCTGGAATCGTATATTTAAGAAAGTACTTTATGTACTTACATCTTTGTTAATTTTCTTTCCTTAAGGAAAAAATTGCCAAAACAGATAGCCAGAGCGTTTGATATTTGTTGAACTTTTTGTGACTAAACAACTTAATATTATAGCTAATAATAGCTTCTGTCGAAACATCTGTACAAAAATCTTGTCATCGCTTTCATTCTCCTTGAAAAAATAGAGACAACGATATGTTTTTATAAAGATTTTTTGGCAGTGGAAACTGACGTCAGCATCGCCGCCGAAACGTCTGCTAAGTAACGTTATTATAATGAGGAATCAATTTATTTTTTGTAATACAAAAAGTATTTTATCATTTTGTTTATAATTAGAACTTTGTTTTGTCTGTGGCGAACACGAAAGCTGCTAACTAGTATATAATTCCTGTGTAAAATTAAAAGTTTGTAAACAAATTATGCCAACGACTTTCACACGAGGGATAAACAATGGGGCAGAGTTGTAGGACAGTGCAGTACTTAGTGCTATGAATGTGAATCTTACTATTATTACAAATTCGAAAGATTCTTGCTGAAATTTAGTATAAATACACCTAACATAGTCTTTAAGGACACATACGCTAATTAAATTTTAATTGTTAATTCCGCGTAAACGGAATCGCGTGCTACAGCTGGTATAATAAAATTAATTTTTAGACCTTTTGCAATGTAACCAATGTATTTACTGTGAGATTATAAAGTTGCATCATGTGACATTTGATAATTTAATTATAAACAACTATCGACCCGCCCCGATTTCGTTCGAATGACAGAGAATATATGTCTGTTCACTTTTCTGTCAAATCATTACCCTTTCCGTAGGTGTACTTTAATAAAACCCTTGTAAACAAAGCCGTGGCCAGTCCGCGTTCTAACTTTACGTTTTCGTGATATCTTTTTTGTATTAGAAGGGGGCAAACGAGCAACGAATCGTGATATCATCTAAGACATTTGTCAGATTGTTACTTTAAATGCTAATTTTATTCAACATCAACATTTATGTCTCCTGATAATAATAACATTTACGTAGATTAGGATTAATATAAAAAAAATAACGCTGTAAACAACGTGCGATGTGTTATGTTTTCGTCTAATGCAAAACACGATTATAGTGAGAAAACCGTACAAAATCCATCGTTGACTTTTTTTGACGGGACTTTAATTTACACTGTCAAAGTCGTGTGCAACCACTGTGACAAATAATATGAAAAAAAAACGATTTTTGTCGTATTGTTTACTAGAAACAAGTAATGATGTAGCCTAGGCGTAATTTTGCATCGGACTTATCTGTTGTTTATAGCACAATTCCTTTATTGCCATGTTGTGGAAAGATACCCAAATGTCAGCAGATAACTGACCCCCCGCGGCTGATCTGACGACCAACACACTGGAATTGCGTTTCACTTACGTATATATAAATTTATCACATTTAAAATTAATATTATTGTTTCAGTACAATGAATATTAAACTTTGCAGTCACGAAGCAACATCATTTCTTTCACATCATGAAACAAACACTGTTTACTAAATAACAAATCAATGATTTAAAAACAAAGGGCTACGGACTGCAACATCAGCTCTTTGTTCGTGTCCCACTGTACGTGGATTCTTCGCAAGAGATATCCGTCCTCGGGATCCATCGTTTCAGGCGTTACTCACACTTTTTAGGGCCAACTCCATCGATGTCATCATCATCTCATACGTCGCCACTGAGGGGGCTTGAAGAATACCCTAAGTCAGGGGTACATAGACCATAGTTAACAACGGTCGTGCTGGTTGGTTGACTTCATACATATCTTTGAATTTCTTCTCAGATATGTTGCATCACGTTTTCCTTCACCGGACTTCGGATAAATGTACATATGTAAATCCCATCATATATGGGGGGAGGGTTAGCTTAGGGTAGGGTCCTAGCCCCTCGGTAGGGACCTATAGTGAGCTGATTATGAAATCCCATCGGATTAGTAGCCAGAGCTTGCGTAATAAAAGTCACGTGCTTAACCCCTGAACGCTCTGGTTGTGACGTACATCTCCAATTGACAATCGCCATTGATATACAAGTAACCGATCATTTTTTTTTAATTCATCCATCGTTGTATTTTAAGACAGCATTATTAATTGAGGCTGTAGTACACCAGCTGTTTCTGGACCTATCAATGTTAAAATAGACAGGAGTCAAAGTATTAATGTTAATAACACAATTTCGTCTGGTAATAGAACGTGATACCTTGATAACCCTAATGACGTAGATTCTAAGTAGGTCTGTGTTTAGTTTAAGACGAAAATATTTTCGTTTTACTGACGTCAATGATTTATCAGTGATTTTAAGGAGTTAACAATAAGCATCATCGTTCGGTTTTTAATAAGTTGTAAGTTTCTTGTTTATTACGTATTGTTGGTAATAAATCTTGGTTACTCGTGCAATATAATCAGTGTCGGGGGTTGAGTACGGTTAGTCACCGCCCTGATTCAAGTCGCGTGCGACAGTGATACAAAAGTTTTAAAAAAAATAAATAAACAAGTTTCAAACGGACGTTAGCTTTTTGTTATCTGCTTGGTATTTGGTTAATTTTGGGAAACAAATTTTGGGGCTTTTGACTTATTATTGCCAGGATAAGGTATTTTAATTTTCTTGTTATTTTGTTTTTAATTTTGTTTCGACTTAAGGAGCCTGACAGTATAATATAAGATATAAGTCGTGAATATTTTTACTACATTTTATTATTATTATTTAGCACTGCAAACTATTTTCGGCGCCCGGGTGTACAATATGCCCAGTGCCCCTCAAAGTAGGCCGCGCAAGGTCCGCCGGGCCTTACGGGAGGCGTGCCCGCCCCACCCCCTTGCGCTCCTAGTTAAGGTTGCTATGTTTGCATTCCTCTAATTAACTAATCTATTTCTTGTATTCCAGACACAACATGGACGGTCCCGTTGGACCATCTCCATGTAAGCTGAGCAGCGGACGCGAGGAGTCACAAGACACGCACACAGCGAGGCTGGACGCGCGGGAAGCGAGCGATGGCAGCTGTCAATCCAACTGTCAGTGTGACAAGACGCAAGGCGAAGTCAAAATAAGGAGCAAGAGGTACGGCAGGGGCGCTGTGGAGTCAGGTAAGGTTTGCGGGAGTCGAACAATAGATTTTAATATTATGTATATTAGTTTTGCTTCATTTAAAACAAATTAACTGGTTAATAGCCATAACGTGATGTATGAATACGCCGATACGCTTTTACCTACCTTAAATAAAAGATACGAATAGGTTGAACACGCAGGATTAATTCTGTATAGATCTGTTGGCCTTTGTTGTGCCTGTTTGGCTTTTGTTTCTTTGCCAACTTATACTTTAATCACATGGTTCGTGTTAGCTATAGCCTTACTTTTAGTGGCTGCGGAGCTTTCTTGTATCAAATCAGATGTCCCACATATAGAGAGGGTCTTATAGGTATTTTGACAGTGGAAATCCACGGTAATATTGTTTAACAAGTAGAGGCGTGCATATCTCGTGATGTATTGACAAGTGAGGATTATCAAGGCATGATGAAACTCTCCGCGGAGGTCAGCCGTAACGCGCCGACCACCGCTGATAACGACGATATGAACGGACAACGTATTGTTACGAATCGATTATTCAATACTAATAATAGAAATATCTAACATGAATGATTCTTTTTTCTTACGATCTATTGACCATTTTAGGGGCGACTTTTCTTCAATTAAAAGAGATCGGAACAATAAAAATACAACACAATCTATGGTTTTATTTTGACATAGAAATAATGAACATAAAAATATATTTTTAGCGGAGCCGCATTAAGCTTTTTCGGCGCCCTAGGCGCGATTTTTCTGGCGCCTCCTTTTTTGGTGTCGCAAGTTTTCCAAAGACAGAGTTTCTTAGGGGACACCACTGGCGTCTGCGGCGCCGCATTATACTCGGCGCCCTGGGTGGTCGCCCCACATGGCTCTAACCTAATCGCGCTACTAATTCTCCGTGTATTTGAAGTTAACGAGAGTTCTTTAAGCGTGACTATGATGTTTGAGTTATTAATTTGTTCTCTTTTAATTGCCAGGTTTAACACACGAATGCGGTGTGTTCGGGGCCATAGGCACCGGTGATTGGCCCACACAGGTGGACGTCGCACAGGTTATATGCTTAGGACTTGTGGCGTTACAACACAGGTCAGTGTTATAGCAAATAAAAGAGTTGTTTTTGTTTAGAAACCAGATTTAAAGACACATTTCTTCAAACAGATATAGACAATTCACTGGCACAGTTTAAAAATATTAAAAATGTGTATAAAACATTAAAAATGGAAACTGATATAATATTTACCTCTTATCAATAAAAGACCTGTTTCTTAAATTATCGTTTTAACTTTTCCATTTGGCCTATAGATAATGATTATCTATATGGAAAAAAATCTATAATTGTATGTACCCAGGGGTCAAGAGTCGGCAGGGATCGTGACGTCAGAGGGCAAGAGTGCACGGACCTTCAATTCCCATAAGGGCATGGGTCTGATCAACAATATCTTCAATGATGAAGCCATGAGGAAGTTGAAGGGAAACCTTGGCATAGGGCATACCAGGCAAGTGATAAAATAATGTCATTGACCTTTGTGTGTATCTGCCCTTTTAATTAGGGCTATAAAAAATTACGACCTTCTATCGTATTTATAAACAACTTACCACTTTTAAGTGTAGATAAAATAATATTTTCGATGTAAAATACGTTTATTTCTCAAAGTATATTTTTTCCTAAGTATTAGGTAAATATTCACCGACTGATTTTTTTATTTAAATTACGATTACTAACGCAATGTTGAATAAATCAATATTAATATTATAAATGCGAATGTTTGGATTGATGGATGGATGTTTGTTTGAAGGTATCTTCAAAACGACTGTATGGATCTCGCTGAAATTTAGCATGAACGTCTAGAAGAACAATTTTTTTTTATTCCGCGCGGACGAAGTTGCGGGCTACTGCTATATTTTGCTTCTTACTAATATTATAAATGCGAATGTTTAGATGAATGTTTGCTTGAAGATATTTCCGGAACGGCTCAACGGATCTTGACAAAATTTTGCACAGATATAAAACATAGTCTGGAAGCACACATAGGCTACAATTACACCTTTTTTTATTATTATATTTAGGCAATATACAGTGTCAAAGTTGTAGGTATATTTGAATTTTATATCTTCAAACATTAGTTCTTGATTGGAGAAGACGTAAATTGCTCTATTATTGTTTATGATTGATTCCGGCCTTGAGTGTTGAATGAACACATCCTCTCCTCACCGTACTTACTTTTAGTTACGTCATATTAGACTAACGTTGATGACGTCACTACAATGACAGAGCCAACTGATATTTTGAAAATAGAATCGTCGTTATGATGGATTCGATTTAAACGGATTGTTCCAAAAACTTGATTTGATAATAGAACTAAAGAGTTCTTCAACAAAAAAGTTTCCCCTCCGTGAAATTTTGGTGCAGTTGTCTCTTGTAATGTAATCTTGCTTCTTACTAATATTATAAATGCGAATGTGTGGATGTATGGATGGATGTTAAAAGGTGTCAGAACGGTCGCATGGATCTCGATGATATGTGGTATGCATGAAAGTATTTGTATGGAAGAACACATATGTTATAATACTAATTAAGTTTTTTTTTAATTTTGCGCGGACGTAGTCGCGGGCGACAGCTAGTTCTGTACAAACATTAATGTTTTAATATTTCAATAAGTAAGGGTGTTTCAATAGAAACCCACTGCTAACATATTAACTCTTGTCGTCAAAATCATTTAAATTAAGTTTAATTTGAACTTAATTTGGTGATAATCAGTCATTTGTTTACAATGTGACAGTAAGATTGACATGGAGATGTCCAAATGGAGCAGTAGGTCACCACAGATAGTAGAAGATGACGCAATTTGCGTCAGTGTTACCATCTCCATGTAATTGTTGGACGTCTTGCGTTTGACCTATGTTGTTGTTCACGATTTGTTTGTTTTGTAAATATACGTAGATATAATCATACGTACTTTTAATATCTTACTTCTTACTAATAATAAAAATGCGCATGTTTGGATGAATAGATGGATGTTTGTCAGAAGATATCTCGAGAACGGCTCAACGGATCTCGATTAAATTTGTCATAGATGTAGAACAAGTTGTAGTCTGGAAGAACACGTAGGCTACTAATTAAGTTTTTTTTTAAATTCCGTGCGGACGCTAGTAGCCAGATATGTCTTATTGGGGTATAGAGAAGACCGTAAAGCAGTGAAACAATCTTTCGAGCGCATCTACACATAACATCATGTCGAGTCTATGGCATGTAGTGCACTGGTTTTATTTTATAATCTAAATATGTGTAGGTATTCGACGTCGGCAGCGTCCGAGGAAGTGAACTGCCAGCCGTTCGTGGTGCACACGGCGCATGGCGCGCTGGCTGTCGCGCACAACGGAGAGCTTGTCAACTGCAGCAGCCTTAGGAAAATGGTAAGATTGCTTACTCTATGATTGTTATAATATAAGCTGGTCAAAGAGTATACATTGTGTTATTGAATAGTGTTGCCATATATGAAAGTTGACTGTTTTTTTTACGTGATGCAATCTATAATCTTCCTAATTATATTTTTTTTAAGTTTTTGTTTGTTATGTGAGTCTAACTACGGTATATTTTCTTAGGTGCTAGGTAGAGGTGTAGGACTGTCCACACATTCAGACTCTGAGCTGATCACACAGGCATTGTGTCTGAACCCACCTGAGGGGGAGACCAATGGACCCGACTGGCCTGCTAGAATCAACAACCTTATGAGGTAAACATAATATTGACTCTTGTACTATAAAACGATGGCTCCCATGTAAACTATCATAAGTCGTAATTCTGCGGGCTTTTCCTGTTTTATGTTATTTTTAATAAATTCGATAAATACAAATTTATTTCTTTTAGAAGTAAAGTTATAAAAAGAATTGTTAACACAATAGTCATCTGTTGTAATTAATCGTAATTTCAAAAGTTTTGTTTTGCAAAATTTGACAGTATGATAGTTTACATAAGAGTCAGAGAAAACGAAAAAAAATTAAAATAATTGATTTTTTACCAACTATGCTTTCTTTTATTAGGTTGGCACCTCTCAGTTACTCGTTAGTTATAATGTTGAAGGATAAAATCTACGCAGTACGAGACCCGTACGGCAACAGGCCGCTGTGTCTCGGCAAAATATTACCTTTGGGATCATCGTGTAAGTTTATAATTTAAATAAATCTTCATATAATTTCATTATCATGGTCTTTCTTATAAACACGTTAGCTGCCATGATATGACATGACAAGCCATGCATTCAACACCTCGCTGTGGCTTGTCGGACGCTTTTTAATCGAATTGTTGTATACAGCGTGACCCGCAAGGCCCCATAAAGCTAACAGCGGGTCATTTTTTTTCGTTTTTCTAAAAATAATTCCGGCAGCTAACGTGTTAATTAACAATAAATGTCGATTAATAGAGGAAACATTTGCAGATGTCTACAAACAATCGTCGGCGCAGCATGCAGCTGGTAATGCATGTTACATTCATATCATTCACTATTTTTTTTTATAAATAAATTAACTATTAAATAAATAAAGGGTCATGACAGACGGACGGACAGCAAAGTGGTCCTATAAGGGTTTTTTCCTATGTGGTACGGAACCCTAAAAAATAAGTAGCCTATGTGTTCTTCTATGTTTTAAATCTATGACAAATTTTAGCGAGATTCACGCTGCTGGAGATACCTTCTAACAAACATCCATGCTTTTAAACATTCGCATTAATAAATAAGATAGGTTTTTAATCATTTGAGAAAACATTTGGGAGTTTTTAATTTGACCATGACACCATTAAATCTATGGAAGGACGCGTTACTTTTGGGTTTACGTGTTTCGTTACACGAGAGAGACGAAAAATACAATTATGGGCTGAGTGAAAGAGATAGATATATTACATGCATGTTTCTTAGCCTCTAAAATTACTAATATGGGCTTTTAATAGTATCTTTATCATATTTAAAATAATTTAACATTACATATACTATCATTTAACAATATCCATTGCTTGAAGAACTTAACTTAGGTTTCTGAGACCAAAATCCTTTTTCAAAACATATTGTTATCTCTGTTTTGTCAAAGATAATGACAGGAAAGACGATATGTTTTATAAAGAGATTTTAGTCTCAGAAACCAACGCTCAGAAGTGTCTGAACATAAGTTTTATTATATCATAAGGTGGCAAACGAGCGAGCGGTCACCTGAAATCGCTGAAATAGCGAAGTGATCGTTGCCCATAGACACGCAATTGCATATGCGTTGCCTACCTTTATTCTTTTTTTAAAATATGTAAATTAAATATAAAAATTATAATATAATTGATCTGTTTACACATATCTCTCTTCAGAATTATGTTACGCTAATTTGGGTATATAATGTATATATTTTTGTTCGATATTTAACCTCTTTGAAAGTATTTCAAGCGTTGTTTAGTATGTGTAGGTACAGTTAATTTGGTGATGGTCAGTTTTAATAAAGATAAGTAAAATATTTTGTGTTGTTTTCAGTTTTAACAAATGGTATAGCTAAGAATGGAGTGGACGACAAAGCTGAGGGCTGGGTTGTCTCCTCGGAGTCATGCGGTTTCCTCTCAATAGGTAATTATTTATAGTAATAAGATTTGTCTAGTATAGTTATATTCAAATATCTTGGCGGCTCAAGGTCATCTTTGAACTGTACAATGCCCCAACACATCTAACATTGTGTATAATGTCGCGCGAACATAAGAGCTAGCGAGATATGTGAAAAGATATATATCAGGCAATGTGTTGTACGTCAGGCGCTCGGTACGTGCGCGAGGTGTTGCCGGGGGAGATAGTGGAGATGTCGCGGCGCGGCATCCGCACTGTGGCGGTGGTGGAGCGCCCGCCTGACAAGCAGCAGGCTTTCTGCATCTTCGAATACGTATACTTCGCCAGAGCTGATAGTATATTTGAAGGTGAGTGTTGCCAGTTTACAAAAAAAAATATTTTTTATTCATCAGACATGTGGCTTTACAATTCAATTAATTCTTTTATCATATATTTAGAAAGTAAAGGTACAGGTGGATTTTTTGGATGATTCTGTTAATTAAAATTGGGAAATGCAATCACTTCGCTATTTAAAAAAGCATAGAAATGAGTCTATTTCCGACAAAAGAATGTCATAGGAGTAATGTAAAGGTTCTTTTTTATTTTAGAATGATTGTTATGTTGTGTTGCAGGTCAAATGGTGTACTCAGCGCGGCTGCAGTGCGGGCGCATGTTGGCGCGCGAGTCTCCTGTGGACGCGGACATCGTGTCCTCCGTGCCCGAGTCCGGTACTGCCGCCGCGCACGGGTACGCCCGCCAGGTGCGTGCGGTACACTCGCTAACTTATCTACTTTGTAATAAGGTCTCATTTAGATTGCAGTGGTCATAATCTGAATATGTAGCGTTACTATAGTTGACAGGTCACATGTGTACACAAAAACAATGTAAACATTTAATTAAGAGATAATTCATTAATTAAAAACTTTTTTTGAACGCATACCTATTTAAAGCGTAGTTAATGAAATGACATTTGCTAAAAAGTATAATAAATTATGGATTTTTTTTTGGACAATTTACCTTAAAATTGTGGCAACACTAAGATGTTTTAATGAAAAATGTTTCAAAAATTTCTTTTTTTTCTTTTGCTAGATTTATTAGAACTAGCCTTTGTCTGCAACTCCGTCAGCGGGGAATCAAAATAACTTAATTATTAGCCTATGTGTTTTTCCAGACTGTTTTCTTATACCAAAAATTTCAGCGAGATCATTTGAGCAGTTCTGGAGATACCTTTTAACAAACATCCATCCATCCAAACGTTCGCATTTATATTAGTAAAATGACTAATGTTAAATAAACTTTCAGTCCGGTATACCATTCATGGAGGTATTGTGCAAGAACCGGTACGTGGGGCGCACCTTCATCCAGCCATCAACACGACTGCGTCAGCTGGGCGTGGCCAAGAAGTTCGGCGCGCTGTCAGAGAACGTGCGCGGGAAACGTATCGTCTTGATTGACGACTCCATTGTCAGAGGAAACACTATCGGACCTATTATAAAGTTGCTGAGAGACGCCGGCGCTGCTGAGGTCAGTTAAATGCAATATTTTTTAGTTCTAACCTAAAAAAAAAAGGTTAAGTTTTCAGTGCCGGAAGTATTATTTAGTTATTTCTGTTTTTTACCTGAGAATGAAAGAGATAGCTGTTCTGTAGTTTGTTTTAATCTTTGTAATCCTGTCTTCAAAGGATGAGAAGGGGAAGTGGTTTGACAGGGGAAGGGACGCATATAAAAGGAAAATATTTAAATAACTAACTCATTCTGTTCGTACTCCATCCATCGATTAAGTGTAGACAACGCATCTGTATTTGTGGATTTCGATGGGCAGCGGTCACTTCGCTATTATGGATATTAAAAAAAAATTGGAAGTCAATGTTGCCAGTATATCTTTGTGTATCCATTTAGTATGAATATATTATTATATTATTATATTTTTGTTATATTAGGTTCACATAAGGATAGCGTCGCCGCCGCTCAAGTACCCGTGCTATATGGGCATCAACATTCCCACCAGAGAGGAGCTCATCGCCAACAAAATGGACTCCTTCAAGTTGGCCGAGCATGTTGGTAAGTCAACCATGTTTGTTTTCAAATATCTTGGGGGCTCTTAGTTTAGCTTGAACCGCTGCGCAGTACATTGTGCATCTGGAATAGCGGAATGCGGGATGGTAGCACTGCGCAGCGCGCGGATTGTCTTGAGCCGCCAAGATGTATGAAAAGAACTATACCAGCCTATATTTTTTATTCATTCATTTCATAAAAAAGTTATGAAAGAAATCTTCCAAATTGGGGTAGGGGTATCTTAGGGCGCATCGCAAGCGTTCCTCGATATTAAACTTTTGCACCAGCGCACCCTTACGTTCGGCGCCCTGGTCCTCCTAACACCGCTACTGATAACAGGTGCAGACAGCCTGGAGTACCTCAGTGTGGAAGGTCTGGTGAGCGCGGTGCACTACAACATGAAGACCTGTGCGGAGACTGGTCTGGGCGGCCACTGCACCGCCTGTCTCACAGGAGAGTACCCTGGTGGACTGCCAGATGATGTAGACTGGTGAAACATATCACTTAATTGCTTAGACCACTTTATGACTCTAAAACTCCTTTTCCACTACCCAAGACTGGCATCTGAAGTAGATATAATGGTCGTTTAATAGGTCAAGTAGTGGAAAAGGGGTTTAAAATATCCTGCATACTGTCATATTATATATTTTTTCAGCTTTTTGCCTTTGTAGGAAGTCATAATTTGGTTGGTAAATATAATGTTGGGTTAGTGAATTGTTTTAACAGATATCTCTTAGACTATTGAGTTATATAAAGCTGTCTGCACACGTTAGTTTAAAAATAAAATATTCGATTTTTAAATAAGATTTTGAAGGGACCAATTTAATAAAAATACATATCAATATTAGAAAAATATTTCTATTTAAAAATTACGTTGGAATATACATAACGTAATAATCTATATTTCTTTTTAATTTATATTAATATTTTAGTATAATAATAATATATACGTCGACGTCGTAGATATAGACGTCGGTGGCTCATTGGTCAAGCACTTGACTTGCAATCTGCAGGTTCTGGGTTCGAATCCCGCCTTGTACCGATGTGTTTTTCGATTTCCGATTTACATATGTACCGTTTATGTATTTATCCGACGTTCTTACGGTGAAGGAAAACATCGTGATGCTGCACATATCTGAGAGCGTCAAAGATATGTGTGAAGTCAACCCGCACTTGGTCAGCGTAGTTGACTATGGTCTAATCACCCTTAACTTAGGGTAGGCTCCGAGCCTCTCTTATACTTTTTGGAATAAACTTGATATGAATTATTAAGAAAATATAAAAAAAAAAACTGTTTTAACAAATTCAATGCATTTATTTCTAATATTGAGAGTAACATGTTTACTACAAGAATGTGTCAAATTTTTATATGCATATTTTTTTGTAAGGTTTTACTATACTAGATATAAGAAAGTCGTGCTGGTTTCGACTACGTTTACATTTATGTATAATTTTATACAGTTATTGTAAAATCCCCATTATTGTAAAAAAGTAAATTGTTAAAAAAATCAACAAAACACTTCATCTAAATTAAATTTATATTTATTACAATCGGATTTTAGACTCAATTTCAGAACGAAGTTAATTTTTTTTCCTCGAATTTCGTAAATAGTGCGATGAATTTTTTTTTTGTTTTAGTAAAATGGATGAGATTTTTTTTTTAATTTTTGTACGGAATAATTTTATCAAAATTGTCAGATATATCAATTGATTTAATTTTTTTTTAATAATACATACAAATGTAATATTTTATTTTTTTATTTAATCTATATTCTAGACTAATAAAGTGCCTTAACTCGAATAAGAGGATCTAATAGAATAATGAACTAAAAAAATCCTATTTTCTCTATGTATAGATATAAGATGAATTCAGAATTGTCGATGTTATTTACTCTGTACATTCCTATATTTAATATTTTTTTAGGTTATATAATTTAGTTAGGGCTTTGGTTTAGGAAAATTTATTTGTAAAGAAAATCTTCCTATTCTAGTAAATAACATTAATTAAATAAATTTGTATTATTTCATCCTTTTTTCATAATAAAAATCTTAACTATAAGTATCATATTGATTAAAACGACGTGAGAATTTTATTACGAATTTTTGCGATGTTTTTCGTACAATTGTTCAAATTTGTCGTTTCACTTTACATCCGATAGAGGCGCTGTACTAATCTAATATATATTGATGACGCTACGAACACTTTCTCGAAACTTTTCGTGTTAGGTCCTATGACTTTTTAAAATCAATGAGGATAAATAAAATTTCATAATTATTATTATATTTAATTTTATTGTATATAACAAATGCGTCTATATACAAACATAAAAAAAGATTTATTTTTTACATTGTACTAAAACTTATGTATCACATTTAAGGTAAAATTATTATGTTTTTAAATTTTTAAAGGAAAAAAATCCTACTTGGTAAAACACGATATATTATAGTAGTTTTTTTTTATATCACAAGGTGGCAAACGAGCGAGCGGCCACCTAAAATCGCTAAAACAGCGAAGTGACCGTTGCCCATAGACATACGCAATTGCATATGTGTGCCTACCTTTAATCGACGGAGAAGATGCACAGAAAGAAAATATTTTCCCTTTCCATGCATCCTCTCATCCGGAAAGTCCACTTCCACTTCCCATCCTTTCCTTATAAGAAAAAGGGTGGGAAAGGAAAGAGGACTAAATTAGGCCTCCGGGACGCACACTCATCAGACTGTACGCGGAATAGCTTCCACTTGAGGCCTGTCTTCTGTGTGGTTGTGGTATTTCACCGGGCGAGCCGGGACAATTCGTGCGAAGATGTTAAAGCGAGCTCTACCACTGTTGCAGTAGTACTCAGACATATTTTACTTTAATTTTAGGATTCCTAAGAGTTGTCTTTTTTCAAAATTTTCTAAACCTAAAAATTAGCATTTAGCTTAAAAAGTTCTTTTATTTTTCATTCTACGTCATAAAATATGAAAACCATTTTTATAAAATACCACTGGCTAGTTTATTTAAAAAGCACGAACCTCTATAAATGGATAGGTCGTTCCTTGAAAAAGACAATTGTTTCGTTCCAACTTTAACGATCCTTTTGATGTTACTGGCAGTTACTTCCAACAATAATATTAGTTCGAATTCTCGCCACCACCACCGCAACCATCAGCGTCAAAATGGCGGAAACCAAATAGGCACGAAATTACAACGTATCTAGCCTGTCCATGTATAGAGGTTAGTGATTTATTTAGTGTTAGTGATTTCAAAGGCTATGTTTCCCGACTATAGCCTCTATATCATCAATTTCCTTGACACAAGCCTCGGTCAGTACAACCGGCTCTCCGTCAGTTATCAGAACATCGTCTTCTACTCTGATGCCGATACCTCGGAACTCTTCAGGCACTGATGTATCATTTGGAGCTATATAAAGACCTGCAAGTTAAAATAATATAGATATTTACTATAAAACTTCAACACCAAAAAAAAATTTTAGGATAAAAGAAAATCTACTATACTAATATAAATTCGAAAGTATGGATGTACGTTATAAAGTATCTCCAGAAGGGCTGCATGGTTCGCGCTGAAACTTGGCATAGATGTAGAACATAGTATGAAAGAATACGTAGCCTACTTTTAAAGTTTAATCTGGCGCGGACGATGTCGCGGGCGACAGCTAATATAAAATAACATTTTCAACAGATAATTTGCTAGCACAAGACAATCAAATTGGTCCTTTGCGAGTCGGATACTGGACTACAAATAACTAATTAAACGAAAAAAAATTGCAAGGTTACTATTAACCTTTTCACTGCTGTCAAAAGCATTAACAACATCCTCAAATATAATAAGAAAATAGATTTATTTTACCAGGTTCAACAGTGACGAGCATGCCGCTAGTGACTGGCACGCGGCGTCGCACGAGCGGCGCGTCGTGTACGTCCAGGCCGAGGTAGTGCGACACGTGGTGCGGGCACAGACGGTACGCGCGCTAAATATTATTCAATTATTCTAAAATTTACTATCACCTCAAGAAGACAATAAATATATTTAATGTAAAACAATTAAATTCTACGTGTTATTAAATTTCATATAGATAAATGAAACTGCTTACATGAAAATGAAAAAAAAAACTAATAGTATAAGGTAAAGACAACCTTATTCCTATAGTAATAAGAACTATTTTAGTCTGATAAATTCGAAAAACTACAATCTTAGTGCCGAGAAATTAATCTTATATATATAAATAAATAAAAATAAAATAAAATAAAATAAAATAAAATAAAAATAAAAAATAAATTTTTATACAAATAATACATAGATCTAACTAATATAATAAATGCGAATGTTTAGATGGATGTTTGTTTGAAGGTATCTTCAGAACGACTGCATAGATCTCTTTGAAATTTGACATACATATAGAACATAATCTGGAAGAACACATAGGCTACTAATTAAGTTTTTTTTTTATTCGCGCAGACTGAGTCGCGGGCGACAGCTAGTATATAATTTATACTTACACCAATAAGATCATTGCCATCAATATTCTTCGGCAGGATGCCCTCCTGCTGCAGATGTGTGCCGAGCAGCCGGCACATCTGGTCGAAGAGCTGGTCTAGTGGAGGTCGTTGCTCCCCAACTAATTCTATTAAACGTTTCTGTAATAAATAAACGAAATAATTCCTACTGTAATACTTATATATGGTAGGTTTCCGAGACAAAAATCTCTCTATAAAATATATCGTCATCTCTGTCATTTTCTTTGACAAAACAGAGATAACAATATGTTTTAAACATGTACTAAGGTATCAGAAACGCACAGGTAGACTGAATCATTGTTTAAATAATCTCACCTGCACAGTAAGTACCAGCTCGTACAAAATCCTGTGATATTTTGAGAATTTCCCAGAAACAGGCCACGTCCTTGATATATCAGAGTTGTACATCCATCGCTGACATCCTGAATCACGTACAATTTTAAACACTACACAACGAAATATCTAGTTTACATTATGCCAGTACAGTAAGACAGTAATTCTCAAAAACAGCGCTGGTATACAACTGACATAATGTACACTCACTGGTGCAAGCCCATACAGTTCATACTAAGCCAGTGCTACTGTCCTACTGTACTGGCATAATGTAAACCAGACATATAGCTTAATTTTTTATTAATTACTTCTAATATATAATACATATTGTTTATAATTATAGTATACATGTACATCAGTGTTGCCAAATGTCTATTTAAGTGTGCGTATACGCACGATAAATCTGAACAGATGCTTGTCAATAATTTCTGATTGTTGTTGTTTTTATTATTCGCTGGAAAGAGCAGGCAAAGGAACTAAGCCATACAGCCTTGTTAATAATTTCTGAACACTGACAACATCAAATAGTAATTTGAAAAATGTTATTGAGTTCGAAGTGTCCTCTTAGAATTTTCATGTTTATTACGCCATATTGGCAAAAATGACGCCTAACTGCAGTCTTTACAATATCACCTTTCCAACTCATTTTACGATAACATATTACAAAACAAAATAAAACTAGACAATATTTTTTTTGGTAAAAAAAAACTCTGGGGACAATATGAATAAAATTAACAGTTTAAAAACTTTCGTGTGTGTGTGTGTGTTACCTGAGTCAACAAGCAGCATCTCATCATTGTGCAGCAGCTGGTTGTTGGCGACGTAGTGTATGGTGTATGGCGCGCGCCCCCCCCGCCACTACGGGCGGGAAGGCGGCGTGCTCCGCGCCCGCCTGCCGGCACGTGTACTCCAGCACCGCGTCCACGGTGCGCTCAGATATACCTATATGTACAGTCACGGAAATACGCGGTGTTCAACTCGTACAAAACAAACAACTAAATACGTAGCAGCGAACGAATTTCAAAAGAAGGGAGAATAATATAATATCCGATCCGGCCGATCTTCTTCCGAACAAACGTTTAAAAGATGTGTCTTATTGGTTATAGTTCCGTGTCCTCTAAATGTGTACAAACGGCTGACTGTACATATTAAAATGCAACACTATCAGATTCTCCGTTTGTCCTTTAGCATTCCAGAATTTTCCGTCTAATATTTTCATCAATAGATGGAGTTATTATTAAAATAAATTTATAATACATATAGATGGCGCTGTGATCAACAATAGATTCAGTTTAACTGACATATCATCAAATTAAAAAAAAAACGTAAAATATTTATAACCTACCCACCAGGTTTAGTGCAAGCCATAGCCATGTTAACTGACTGTGAACCAATATAACATGCTTCCTTCATCAGTTCAATTTCAGCGGGTGACTTGATCACTCTCATTTGATGCAGCGCCTTCTGCGGATCTTCTAGTGCAATTTGACCATGACGCAGGACAGAACGGATGTCATCATGAATATCGAGGTTGGCAGGATTGTCATTGTGGTACCACAAGATACCAGGCTTTGATAATGATGTCATTCTATAAATAAGATTAAAGGCGGTCTAGTAAACAACCATAAAAATTTCTCATCTAATTAATTAAACATGGGTTTCTGAGACTCATTCACTTTATACATAGATTTTGGTATCAGAAACCCACCTAACTCAGTTAATCCTTTCTTTCATTTTCTATTTTTTTTTACAAAATAGACATTAAACAAATTCCTTTAAAGTACATATAAAAGAGATAGATATATATATATTTTATATCATAAAGTGGCAAGCGAGCGAGCGGCCACCTAAATTGCTGAAATAGCGAAGTGACCGTTGCCAATAGACAAACGCAAATCGACGAAGGAGAAGAGGCACAGAACGAAAATATTTTCCCTTCCCATGCATCCTCTCATCCGGAACGTCCACTTCCACTTCCCACCTTCCTTATAAGAAAAAGGATGGGAAGGGAAAGAGGACTAAATTAGGCCTCTGGGACGTACACTCATCAGACGAAACGGGGAATTGCTTCCACTTGACGCCTGTCTTCTCTGTGGTCGTGGTATTTCACCAGGCGAGCCGGGCCAATTTGTGCGAAGATGTTAATGTTCTACCACTGTTAAGTATATGACTCACTTTGTTAAATACTGATTGAAACCTTCAACTGGTCTTGCCTCATCCACACTGAACAGCTGTGTGGAGACACTGCAGCCGCTGCGAGGACCTTCCCACAGCTCCGCATGGGCATCTTTCTCATGCACAAATAGTACACTCTGTGAATTTATTACAAACATCTTTGAACTGCTAATTTTTATCACAAGGAGTTTCTATATCAAATATTAGCCTTCGTAATTTAGTCAATAATCTTATTAACCCTTGATTCGACGGAATTTTTTGTAGCAAAAAAACTGTTTATTTTAGTAAAGTCATACTTACATAATTTTCTCTAAATTAGTTCAGTAGATTTTTTTTAATTAGTTGTTCATCTGGACACCATCGAATTAAGGGTTAATATTATAAATGCAAATGTTTAGATAGATGTTTGTTTGAAGGTATCTTTAGAACAGCAGTATGGATCTTGCTGAAAATTAGCAAAGATGTAGAACAGCGTCTAGAAGAACACATAGGCTACTAAATATGTTTTTTGTTTCCGTGCGTATGGAGTCGCGGGCGACAGCTAGTTTATTATATTAAGCACAACTTATAATTACAACAAAGATGTTTTATCCAGTATTAATACCATTTTTTTACTTAGTTCTTTGGAAAGTTTCAAAGGAAAAAAGGTTGTTTGTCAGTACAGTTAATTCTTGCCTTGTAACTATCAGTTTGTGCTGGTTTCACTAAAACCAGTATAGCAGATGGTTCCAAACATCCTGTTAAGTAAAAGAAGTCTGAATTCTGTCGGAACACATATGGGATCTTATCAGACATGTATTGCTTGCGGGCTGCCGGGATTACAATCTGAAAGATATAGACAATAATAACAAAACCAATTTTTATATTATCTTAAGAAAAAACTATCTAATTTACAAGAAATAATTTGAAGTGAAACTTTGTTACATGAAAACTTGTAGTTTTAGGCAACACTTTATTTAAAATAATTCTAAATAAGTTAATTCCTATGTTAAAAGTATGTTAAGACAAGGAAAGGTGATCTTACAACATGATTCTTATGAATGTTATCCACTTCTGCAATCAATTTGTTGACTAAAGTGTCCCGTCTCTCCTTATACTCCATTTGAGTGATCCCACAGGTCAAATGACCCTTTGGTATCATATGTGGATGCGTGTGGTATGTCGGCTGACCTACGATTCCTTTCGGAATAGAAAATTGTGGTACGATCTTTTCCTCTGGCGGAGTTTCCATTTGCGACATACATCTCCATTTATTCTGACTTAGATTCTGCCTTAACAGATGTTTTGCTCGTTTTATGCCTGTACAATTGAATCTATGTTACACATTTTACAAATAAAAAAAGAAAATGAACAATTTGCTTTATAACCTAACTTACCAATGTCTGAAACTTTTCGGAAATTGTGCATTTTAAAGGTCTGACGATAGTGGGAATTCAAATATATTGCACTATATATGTCCTTTTTTGAAGGAATAAAATAATCTAGGTCAAAATAAACAGAGGAACTTTTGTCAATTTTGACATTATTTTTGACGTGAGGTGACGGTTAGAGAATAGTTCTAAAACTATATTTATAACGAAAACCTTTGAAAATATCTTGCACTTTCAAAATTTTGTAAGAACATTTACAACATTTTATATCAGTTATTATCTTATCTTATAATAAACATATTAAAGTAGGAAATATTAAAGCAATGTAAAGGTTTACTTTTTCAACTTAAACATTGTTTAAGGGAAATGGAACGTCTACCTTTACCCGTTAGTTTATAATATCGCTACAGAGATGCAAATACCTAATATGACCGCTAATTTAGCCAAGGTGGTGTAACATATTATATAAAAAAAAGTTTTTAGATTCTTAAAACTTAAATTATTTTGTGAATAAGGTTACTTGGTTTTCTACATTGGTCAATTTCTAGGATGTAACTAAACAGCAGTTATTTGATTTTTAATTAACAGTGTAAATGAATAAAAAAATATGAAATCAAATTAGAATTCCAAAAAACCATAAGTCAAAAATACTGTCGAACCAGGGTCAAGTTTAAAAAGCTTCTATTACTTACACTAAAATCAAGAAACGCTATGAATACCAAAAGACAAATTGTTTAACTTTAAAGCAAAGACTATAACGATCCCGTATGTCAGGCAATAAGAGTCACGGTATTTCCATATTAATTAGAAATTCTTCTTAGTGCCTACGAATTTTATGTCATATCTGGTTAATATTTGTAGATTTATCATCATAACTCCGTGTTCAATACCATTGTACGATGTATAAGTAGTACCTATTTCAATGTTTAATACTCCATTTTCCTCACCTTTGGAACACGTCAGGTTGTAGAGTAGAGTGATTCACGAGTAGTGATGACCAGTTAATAACGAGAAACGTTGGATTTTCCTCCTTCACTCAAAATTAAATCTCTCTTCCCTGAATCAGTCACTTCATATTATGTTTTTTATATCACCGTTTGTGACATTTGGCTAGATTTATAAACAGGTACCTATAAGTAGTTTTCGGCTCTATCTCCTTAAATGTAAAGAGGTTCTACCTAGGCTTTGTGGGAAGGAAGGTCGTTACGTTCACCATCGCCTGACGACTTGGATCGGTGCCAGTCTGCGCTGGACCGTCGGCGTGTGCGCACGTCGCTTAACGAAACGACGTCATCGCAACGCGATCGCGAAAAGTGTCGTGCCCGTTATACAGTGTTTCAACACCGTTCTGTGATTTGTTTATTTTCTCATTAATATCGGAGTCACGGTGCTCAGCGAACGAATACGAAGGTTTGTTTTGTATTTATTTTAAAGATTAGTTGTGTCTAGTACATTGCGAGTGTGGTCCTAGTTTAAGTTGCATTCGCTTCATTTTGTAAGCTATTCATTATTTGTTGCGGACGTTTGCATTTGTTACCTAACAACCGACCTCGCGGTTTCGTTCGGAAATATCGTAGGTATCATTTACTTAATCAGTATTTTATTTATTTCAACACAAAAAAATCGGAATTAATACTATCTTTGACACACGTAAGTTATGAAAACTGTGGAATTTTCTTATAAGAAAAAAAATATTTTCTCTTCCAAGTTGTTAATATAATTTGACAACATGCATACGCGTGTTGTAATTAAGAGTGATATTTAGAGAGTATTTAAAAATGTTTGCGAAAAAATTCACGCTACGTAACTTTAGCCGCATTTTTTTTCGGCGCGGGAAAGTAAGATTTCCACGAACAATGGCGGTCTATCCGCCAGCACAGATAATGTATTCTCTCGATAATTATATTGTAGTCATTATACGGAAGCGTATTCACATCACGCAGGGCATATTGACCGACGGCTTTGCATTTTTTATTCTTCATTAAGTAAGAATTAATGTAATCATTCATTGCCTTATACAACTATATTTAAAACTGTGCAATGTACACACTAGTTTCATCTGGAAATACATTTTTTTTTACTACATTTGTTATATTGGTTCACACGCAAAGTAAACATTGAGTTGATTTATTTTTAATTTTAAAAATTACGACGATCCGGCTGTAAGAGACTTCTTATCGCTATCTTAAATAATTTCCAACACGTTTTATATGTCGTTTGTACAAATAGAGTTTTAATTATACTTTTAATAGTAGTTAATTTAATATGTTACAATTGACCGCAACTTAACTTTAACTATTTTTGGTGCATCTGAATTAAATCAATAAGAATAAATAAAATAAGAACAATTTAAAATACTTTATCTTACAAATATACAATGCAATCTATCAGGTTTCCAAACGTAACATGGTGGCTGAATAGCATACGCCTTTGCCCTTTCTAAACGCAAGTCTTGTTTCGCTATAACGACGCGGCGGTTACTGCACGTATTCCTCATTGTTTAGATTTACCTTTTGTTTTAATTGTGTTAGTTCTATTTATGCAATTTCGTGCAGACAATAGTTATTCAATATTGTTTGCAAATTGTTTTATGTATGAACATTAATCATTATTTGTCTTTTTTGGAACACATATTTAAAATAATAAATATATATTGTAATTAGAATTTTAAATCAATTAACGCCTTCGTAAATAACATACTGTCATTCAACTATTTCTTAAAAAAAAAATAGATAGATATCCGGAAACCTATCTGCAACCTTTGAAATTAAAGGCGGTTATTTTCGTTGTTATATTGGCTAATCCGTGACATAGAAACAGTCGAATTTTGATGATTTATCCTGGGTTTTCAATTCCGAATTCTCCGTTTAAAATCTATTGTTATCTCTGTATTGTCAAAGATAATGACAGGGATGGCGATATGTTTTGTACGGAGATATTGGTGTCGGAAATCCAAGTTTAGTAACCTTTAATATGAATTTAATATTAGGTTATAATGAATAGTAGCCGCAACTAAAAATCTGCAGTTATTTACGCTCAATGCGCGTTATTTGTAGGACCCTTTTAAGGCATAACAACATTCATCTTCACCGTATCTTTTATTCAGTATACTTTAGTTATTGTTGGCTTGATTTTTTTGTCAAATTGTCCATTCGTTTGTAGCGTTGTTTATGTGTCGCAAGTTATTTATGAATCAATTTGATCTTCGTTTTCTAGTGATGAAACTTAAGTGGTTTTGAAACTAAAACGGAACAATTATTCTGCGACTTTCGGAGCTGGATTTTTGAGGTAACACGAGAGGATAAAATGTGTACAAAACGAGTAAATAAAAGGAACTCTATCTTATCTCGTAAATGAATGGAAAAGTTGATAATTATATTATAAGTTAATGGGTCACTTATGTTGACCCTTAGTTTAGTTAAATAAGCATAGCTTGTAACATATTGAATCTACAGTCATTAAGTGGTCTCCCAATGTTTTTTAGTATGAGAAATCTACACTAAGGAAGGGATTCTTTAATGATTAATTAATGACTCTGAGTTCGACAGTAAGTGCATAACGTTCACAGGCCTGGTATGCGTCTATTACATGAGTTCCGGCACTCGGATGCGCCGGCGCAGTCGACGCCTCGCTAGAATGGCGGGCATTTTCTGTTTTGTTGCAAGTAAAAAACTGTAGAGTTGTTCCTTTAAATGGCTGATTTGTTTTAGATTGTGGCGTGGTAAACGCGTTAATGAAATGCGAGGTTATATCCAAAGATTTATAAGTAATGTGATTTTATTAGTAGTGGATTTTGAACCTTATTTATCTTAAAACTGTAGTCACTTTGTTAGTTTATAGTGTGATTAAGCAACAGTTTTTTATATATCCTAAGATGGCAAATGAGCGAGCGGCCACCTGAAATCGCCGAAATAGCGAAGTGACCGTTGCCCATAGACATACGCAATTGCATATGCGTCGCCTACCTTTAATCGACGGAGGAGAGGATGCAAAGAAAGAAAGTATTTTTTCTTTGCATCCCCTCCTCAGGAAAGTCCACTTCCACTTCCTATCCTTTCCTTATAAGAAAAGGGTGGGAAGGAAAGAGGATTAAATTAGGCCTATTATGACCGACATAATATTAGCTACACATAGTGTTAATATTTCTGATAAAAAAAATCGATAAATAATTCAATTTGCCTTCTTTATAAAAGTTCCAGAAAGGAGATTGGTCTTTTGAAGCATAAGATAGTTTTATTATTTTTTCTTTTAATTCGCTTGCAGTTTGTGTTTTGTGCCAGACGTCAAAGGCCGTAAAACCTTTACTATTCCCTCGTTATTATCGAAACGAATGCTGTGAGTAAGCCGTTAACTTCTGATGGTAATGAGTTTTTTTCTATTTTCTGAAAGCCCCCAAGTGGTAAGGCTTTTGTTAATGCCTAATTGAGGATTGGACCTTATGCCCTTTGGTTCTTGACCCGAATGCATTATGATTGTATAAAGTAAACCGGAATTGTATGATGTGTTATTTATTTTCTATTAACTAATCTTCGAAGAGGTTTTTATATTTATAATAAGGCAAAAAAATTAAATCAGGTAAAAAGTATTTATGCTTTCTTTTTTTAAAATTATAATATTTGTTTTGTCTATTAATTAGGAAACGTATATAAGTTAACTAAATTAGAACACTACAAAAGTTTTTTTTTGTGTTACCAAAAAATGGCGGCGTGCATCGTGACATTACCTGTATTTTAACGAATTCGGTAACATGGTCTACTGCGCACCCTTTCCTATAATCCCAAATAATAATAAGACAAACAGTGCAGTTCTACATATATGGAAAGTAAATATCAACTGTAAGAAAGAAAATCCGAAATGAGCCAGTGTATTGGCTCAACACTAGCCTTACTAAAATGTCGACGTTTTTGTCCCCTCACTATTCATTCTGACACTGGACTTTGTAACGAAAGCACTTCATTCGCGGTAAGGGATTCTGACAAATAACGTCTAAAACAATATATAAGTATGTTAACATTAATAACTGGCCCCGGGACCATACAATCAAACATCGTTTAACAAACAACCGTAACCCGAGGCTTTTCTTACTCTAAGAAATAATTTGTTTCAAAAGCCTGAGGCAAACTATGCGTGTAGCGTGCCAAATTAGTTTGAAGTTACACAGTTTTGGTACACTTGTG